TATTTATTTATTTGCGTTCTTAAATTGAAAATTTCAAATTGTTTGCTTAGTGGCGCGCTTAAAGCGATTGCACAATTTATCGCCTTGGCTTCAATTGCGGCGATTATTTTATGAATTTCGTACCAGCGATTTCTCGAGTTCTGAGAACTGTAAAGTCTGGCAGCGACAGCATAACAATAACATAACACTTTTCCGGCGTTTTCATGCATTTATGCAGAAACTTGCATATTTTTCAAATGGTGGCGTCATTCCGGACTATTTAATAGTTGTCCCATAAGACAATAAGAATAGTCGCAGTTGAGTTTCTTTAAATTTATTTTGTTTGTAMTCTTGAGGTATGTATGTATGTATGTAAATAGTGCTTTATGCTCAGACCAGTTGCCAGTTCGTCACTTGGGCTGGTGTGGACCACATTGCATCTGCTTCGACTAAACAATCTCTTTCTAGGGCTGTCTGCCACCTTGGAGCCCGAAGCCATGCCGCATCGAGCCATGGGATCGAGCAGAACGCGGTCATCTGTGCGCCTGCGCATTACTTCAGCCGCAAAAGCTTATCGACGCGCTGCTGCTCATTTGCTTTAGTGTAATGCCTACTTTTTGGCCATTTCTGTTGACCAACTTTCGAAATTGTAGAAGCTCTGCGTCGCGCACTGCACTTAGGCAATTATTTCAGCCAGATTCGGCAGTTGCCACACCTCTTGTAGATTCTTTCGAAATCAACTGGTTGAAACTTGCATTCAATCAAAAGTAAAATTCACAGAGAGTTTTAGAGAGTGGCTATAGTTTTTACAGCTCATCAGCTGTAGCTGCTGCTGGATGAGTTTTTCTCTTTCATATTAGCCAATTGGTATTATACAACATTGATGCTGCCCTAGTCTTGGCCGTCGATGGCTTGCAGCTCACCCATATACGAAAATTAAACTGATATTTCATCCATTGTTTCGGTTATGGACTTTTCATGGCAGACTGGCTTCAGCCCCTGCTCGCGTGCCAGATATGCAAATGTCTCGGCAAAGCTCAACTCGTAGCCGCAATGCTCGGCTTCAGCTCTAGGGTATGTGCGTAAACAAAAGTGCGTGCGATTTTTGCTGCCGCTCTTTGGCATCCATAACGAATTTTTGCATAAATACAAAGCGGGCAGCACTAAGGCTGCTGCGCTGCTATTAGGCATCCTTTTGTTGCTGTTGCTGTTGCTGTTGTTAATAGCCAACCATTTATCTTGCTTAATGAAATTTGCGAAAAATCAAATGCTGAGCGCAGCATGTGGGGCGCATTTCGGTCGACGGCTGCGCTTAGTTCAGTTCGGTTCGAGGGCATCTTGAAGCTCAGGCTAATCCACTGGCCGCAGCCCAAGCTCGTGCTATCAATGCGAATGTCAGCGTCACGTGGCGCGCATAGCCGCAACAAAATGCCCCCCTCTTGTCTCGTCCCGTCCAGTTGAACAACATGTTTCGGCTTCGCCTCCTCTCATCCTGCTCATGCCATGCCTCGCCTCGCCTCTCCTGCTCTGCTCTGCTCTCTTTATCATTCATGAACCGCGCGCGTCACGTGCGCAATTAAATTGACGCATTCTTGACGGACGGATTCATTCTGTGGTACGCTCGTGTCCCCTCCGACTCCTGCTAAAGAGCGGCCAGGGAATTGAGTCGGGCCAGCAGGCACTTACGTGGCCGGCATCGCCTCGCGTTGACATCATTAATCACATGAAAATTGGTTTCTTGCGGTGCGCCGTGACAATGCCTCAAAGCAGCAGCAGCAGGAGCAGCAGCCAACAGGCGAGGCGAACTTCTTACCTTTCCGGTTGCAATTGAACAATGTGGACAAAGCAGCAGAAATTAGCATTTTCTTCTCCTATTCCCTTTTCATGGAAATTAATCAAAAGCCTGAGCAAAGAAGTTAGTCAAAGGAAAAACTAAGCTGGACTTGTCGTAGTTGAGAGAGCTTAAGGAATTCTATTTTACGGCCCTAGCTTGTCTTATTCACATAGATTCCCATACAGAGCCAGTTCTCAGCTGATCTGTCTTCAGCATATGCCAAGATATAGATATCTCGCTCCTGCCAAGAGATTTCCTTGATCGTTGATCAGTTTCGCAATTTCGAATGGCCCGGATCAGAGATTAGCAATAAATTTGGCGGAGTATTTGTGCGAGCCAAGTGTGGAACGTGGCCAAATGAATCCTGCTGTCCTTCGCACGAACATTTTAGGCCCAAGCGAAACTAAACATTGGGATTAGGCAAACAGCGAAAGCTGGCGCGTGTTGGGGGCGGTGCAGTTGGGGCAGGTGGCTTCGGATAGCCGCAAAAACCACTAAACAGTCAGCGCCGCCAAATGCAAACAGTTTAAATGTCATTTGCGGCGTTTGCCGAGCTGCGAGCAAATGTGAAATGGAAAATTTCGACGTGTTGGTTAAATAAATTTCGCGGCAACTCGCAAAAGGGCAAACCGCGTGGACCGCTTCTGCCTCTCACTGGGCACAGCTAGCAGCTCTCCTCTGCCACTGCCGCTCTCCTCTGTCTCTCTTTCTCCTCCTCCTGTTGGCATTCGGGCAAACATCTGAAATGTTTCAATGGCGAATGCGAGCCGCAATTGCCAATCGACGCCGCAAATCGCATTTTAAGCCTCGCGTGCGATTAGTTTAATTGCCAGCGTAGTCTGCTATGGGCGGGGCACAGACGGGGCGGGCAGCGGGCAGCGGGCAGCGGACAGCGAGTGCTGGCGCAACAGGACAATGCATACATTTGCATAGCTGTGGCCGTGTGTCCGCTGCATCTGTATGTGTGTGTGTAAGCTCCCTTAATGCGAAAATAAGGATTAACCAATGAAATTTATAAATACGCAACAGAGCTGCTCCACTGTCCAACTGCAGCAGCATCCACAACAACGTCCTGCATCCTGCCCTGTGTCCTGTGTCCTGTGCGCCGCGCGTAAATTGAGTGCATAAATTGGCCGCATCTCCGTCTGCGTCGCATGGCCCGACAGGGCAATCTATTTTGGATTAAATCAAATCGAAATAAACGATTTTTAATGGCCAGCACGGAGTGTGCAGCTCCTTGTTGCTGCTCGCCCCAGCTTCGGTTCTGGCTCCTGCTCCTGCTCCTGCTCTGGCTCTGGCTGCTGTTCTGGCCACAGTGGCAAAAACGAGGTCATTAATTATTTCTTCAAAAGCAAAAGATAAGCCGGACCAGGCGACCGAGCGAGCGAGCGAGCCAGCCAGCCAGCCAGCGACCCTGCCTGCAAATTAACCCCCAGGACTCGCATCCTTTTTGGCGTTTTGTGTCATTAGCTTAAAAACCGAAACCGACGCAGGACAATGGTCAGCCTGCCCGGCCAAGCCCGGCCAAGAATACACGCGTGCCCCAGCCAACTGTTGTTTGTGGCACCAGCGATGTCGACGTCGACGTCAGCATCAGCATCAGCGTCAGCGTCGGCCGCATGTGCCACAAAGATTAATTAATCTTTAAGGACTCATTCGTGTCCCTGCGTTGTTTGTGCTGCCCGCTTCACTCATTAGGCATTTAGGCATTTAGACATTTGCATGTGCAGGCGACACCAACATAAATTTATGGCCCCGGACCTTGGCCCCTGACCAGAGCTGCCCAGTTCCCAAACCCTTGCAAGCGCCACGCCCAGATAGCTCAGCAGCTTTGCGGTGTCTCCCTCAAGTGGCAGCCTCCATTGAGTCTCGCTGAGGCTGCTCTCCATGAGCTAAATGTGTGTATGTAGTAGTAGTAGAAATGAGCTTACAAGTTTGTGTTGAGATGAGATGAAAGAGGAATAGAACTTGAAATGTTTTTAATATTTATTTATGTATTAGATATTACAGTTAATATAAAAAAACATTTTGTCCGGATTTCCCATTTTAAATGGATTCAGTGTATAATTAAAACTAACTTAAGATTAAGCACTGGCTACTGGGGCTATTTCCTCATAATATGCATATATATACAATGTAATTCATATTTGATTTTCTCATATAGGCATTTGCCATAACGCCTATCAGCATTTACATTAACTATGCCATGTCCTCAGCTGCCTTTGCTCATTAATGCTCATCAGGATCTGTCCTTCAGCCAATCATATAAATTATTATATTATATACATATAATACAGGATATATAGTAATTTCTATAATCTAAAACAATATGATGGCAGACTTACCTTTCATATAGAGACTCTGTAGACTCTCGCTTCACTCCCTCATACTTATGCCCCTCGGCGGCTGTCCATGCCCCAGATATACATCTGTCAAGCTTTGTTTCAATTTCATTGCGAGCCCCGTCAGGCATTTATTTTGATTATCAATTGACATTCATTTCTATTTGCTCGGCTTCTTATCGTAAGCCGCATGCTTGGCCCCATTGTCATCAGCAACCGCATCATCGTCATCGTGAGTCATTATGGGCTCTGAGCTGGCCATGACCCCGTAAATGACCAGCGAAGCTTATGCCAAACACACAGACACACACACACATGTACATGTACACGTTATATACTTAAGCTCGGGCCAAGATTTTGGCAAATTTCTGTGGCATGCCACATCAGTGGCGCCATAACAACAAAGAAATGCCTGAAATACGTTTTCCCCCTCTCCATGAAGTTTTTGTCGCTCGTTTCATCTATAAAATATTTACAGCTGATTATTTGTGCTCACAGCTAAATGGTTAGGTGTGCGTGTGTCTGTGTGTGTGTGCGACATTTAGTGGAGCGCAAAAGTTATCCTTGTTATCCTTTGATGCCCCTACCCCAAAAAGCTGAGATTTTGTCGTAATTTATTAGCTCGCACACGTGAATTATTGCCGTCTAGAGTTTTCAGCTCTTTGACATTGATTGGCATCTGGGAATTGCTCGACGTTGTTTAGTCTAATGGGACAGTCCAACTTGAAGTTGAAACTACGTGAAAAACATTTCGTTTGATATTTGTAAATGAATAATTTATATATATACATACGAGTATGCATTCCATATAAAACATAAAGCTAATAAATATTTTTTATCTATTTCCACAGATTGACAAATTTCAGCGAGTTTACCAAATATTCAACGAACATTCATCAAGCGTTCTTTATTTATCATAGTTTTTAGGTAATTATATAGCAGTATCATTATCATCGTTTTACTAATGACATTCCCATTTCCGCACGGTTATTTCAATATTTTAGTTTGGATTTGTAGCATAGATACAAAATTTTAAATCTTAAAATTTTACAAGGAAACACTAACAAAACAAGAATACACAACAACAAAAATACACATAAATAATACATTAATATACAAATACATATAATAGTAATAAACAAATTTATAATACAATAAAA